ACAGCTCATTCCGCCCTTTCTACTTTCATGTTTCCCTGTCCTAGCTTGAACAAGGCTGACCTCTTCAGAAATATTTCCTGGGTCCCATTCTGCCTTCTCTATTGCACTTCAGACCCCCTTACCTCTAATCATTGTGTACTGGCATCACAAACCTGATTTGGGGGAAAACATTATCTACTTGAGAGTTTCTGGCTCAAGTGATACTATAAGTTCACACTATCTAACCTACCCTGGCCCTTACTTCATTCCAGTCCTTTTAGTTCTTTCGTTTTCAGTCTACTTCCAGCAGTTCCACTGTACCTAACACTGTTTCAGAGCTCTTGAGCTCTCTCTCTGGGGATGAAATAGCATTCTACTGAGACTGTACTGTATGCCACTGGGGTCTTCAACTGCCCTCTTCAAGTATTAGAAAAATATGGGCTGGGCATGGTGGCTCATGCCTGTAATCTAGTAGTTTGGGAAGCTGCGGTGGGAGGATCTTTTGAGCCCAGGAATTCAAGATTAGCCAGGGCAACATGGTGAGATGCCATCGCTACCAAAAATACAAAAATACACCATGGGCACGGTGGCACATGCCTGTAGTCCCAGCTACTCATAAGGCTAACAGGATTGCTTGAGCCTGGGAGGCAGAGGTTTCAGTGAGTCGAGATCACAACACTGCACTCCAGCCTGGGGACCCTGCCTCAAAAAGGCAGCCCAAAGCTCAGGTCCAAAATAAACCTCCCCGCCCTCCCCTCCCCCGGCACCCAAAAAAACAAAAAAACAAAGCTCAGGACCACTGACATGTATTGTTTAGGATGTATAACTGTTTCTTCGAATACGTAGTTTAAAAATATTTTGCTTATATAATTCAATGCGTATGGTTTTTAAAATGTAAATTAGTGGCCACTTAAACTGCCCTCTCCAACAGGGCCTAGTGCCTTTGTTCCCCACAGTCCCTCCTCCCAACCACCCCGCCACCTCCCTAGACAGGCTCCCTGCCTGGTCCCAGGAAGCACTCCGAGTTTGTGGCTCTTTGATCTAAAAGAAGAGTTCAAACTCATCTCACCCCCAGGGCTGAAATCTCCACAACCTCATCCCTTTACATCACAACCTGACTGTGAGGGTCCCACCTCTGCTTCTTCACTTAAATCTCCTTCTTTGCAAATGAGGCAACAGCTAGCTAGTATCTCCCTTTCCTCTCTGAAATTCAATCCTCACACTCCTTTGCTTCCATGATGTTTTCTAGCACTGACTTCAGTCCCCTCTGGGCCCCCTATGGACAATGCCCTCTTACAAGGATTTCTTCTCACTCTTAAGACATAGCCTCTCTAGCCCTTATATTAATGACAAAGTGCATAAAAGTTGCTGAACCCTTATTCTCAATTTCTGTACTCATACTATCAAAAACCAGCAACACACCACACTGAGCTGCCCCAGCCCAGAGGTGTAAACGCTGAGACATTTGTGGAAATGTAAATCTCTCATGTTCTCCTAACTCTTCCACAACTCCGCTGCCTACCTACAGGGTAAAATCCAGGTTCTCCAGCAGGCCCAAGCCCTTTATGCCTCACTTGAGGAATCTGTGATGCAACTGCCCACTTTCATGCCCCTGTGATTACGCACAAGCTCGTCCCTCTGCCAGGAGCTCCCTGCTCCCTGGGAAACCAACTGGCAAAGCAGCCCCACCTTTCCTGTTTTACAGTTAACACCTTGCACACATTGCAGTTGTTCCACGTATCACACTTTACTGTTTCTTCCCCAGGTCTGACTCCCCTAAGAGGCAGGGGATCCTTGAAATCAAGGGGCAACAGTACATGCCCTGGCACTAGAGAAGTTTTCCTTAAACGTTGACAAGCTGGTGGCCCCACTGGTCAACAGGTCAAACAACTTAAACATCCCTCCTACCGCCTGGCTTAAAACCTACCCCTAAATCCCTACATCCACACAGCTGCCCTGTCTCTGTGAAAACCTTGCTATCCCTGACCCCTCATGCCCAAGGCTAACTTGCAACAATGTTCCTTCCACTGTTGGTCTTCTGCTTCAGGAAGATTTCATGCTTCTCAAAATCCTCACTGACTCCCTATTAAATAAGGTCCAATGACCTTAGCCTGGCATTTTGGTAACTCAGGCTTCATCTTTCACAAGGGCACCTGGACACTTTTTACCATGACACTCCGTGTATTCTGGGCCTCTGCTCCACAATCACCTCGGTCTGGAAGGTCAGGTACCTGGCATATTCCTGACTCTTCAAAGGCCAGCTGAAGTGCTGCTTCCTACAACAAATTTTCCTTTTAACAAAACTGGTACAGAGTCAGTGCCTGTTTTTCAACCTCCACGGGCACAATCACTCTCCACCAGTAGCTTCCATTTCACCTCTCTGCAGTCATTGAAGGCCCACCTAACTAAGCTCCACATTCTCCTCTACTCTAGCATTTGCAAAAATTAACATTTTAAAGGCAAAACACAAGTAACCACTTAGTGGGACATAAGACAGTTCACCTCATGTTATTTTGAGCAGAGACACTGTAGTTTAACAACTCTTCTTTACTCTGTATCTTCCTTCCTCTAAATCTGCTTCTCTTCCACAGCCCAACTTAAAATATTGTAGATAATGAATCAAATTTGCTTTCCTGTCTTAGTTTTTAAAATCAAGTTAATGGTTTTCTCCTCCTTCAAGAAAGTAAAACAAACTCCAAAACAAATTCAGAACAAAACACTCTGTGGCATTCGACTCTTACCCATGAGTCTCAAAGGGAGAAAAAAAAGAATTTCTTACAAATGGGAGGGTTGACTTATGAGTAATACACATCACAAAGATCAACAAGCAGGAACACATACTAGCAAGAAACTGTAAGACACACCTTTCCCAAACAGCTTGGCTAAACTACATGGCAAGGACAGACAAAACAACTGGCATTGGGAAGGTCTGGCAGGACCAGCAGGGGTCTTCTGTAGAGCAAAGGAAGCATTCTCCATGCTTTCGATGAGTCTTGAGCAAAAGCAGAACCTGGAGCAGGCAGAACACACAGCAAAGGCAAGACTACTATAGTGGAGGTTTAAGCTGAGAGGTGCTAAAACAGAACATCGGAAAGATAAAGTGGGGTTGGATTAATCATTTTTAAGTCAAAGGAGTAGTTTAGGCTGAATGAGACAGGTGACAGGGGACTCTAGTAGGTTCCAGGGCAGGAGAATTACTTTTTGCAGGAGGATTACTCTAATACAAGTTGAACCAGGGAGGGAGGGAGTAATGAGTAAAAGCAATGGAGCAAGGGTGGGGACAGACAGGAATGAAGGCCTCAACAGCCAGCAAAGGCAATGAAAAGGAAAGGAATGAATGTTCGCAAGAGATTTTCAGAAGAAAAAGTGGGACTTAATCACGTCAAGCTTTTAAGCCCGGAGATGTGCAGAAGACTGGGTAGCTGGAGAGAATGGAAGAAGGGGAATGTGCCTAAGTTAGACCAGCTGTCTGCAATCCAACTGATTAAAAAAGCTAAGCACAGGAAAGCAAACTTGGTTCAACATCTACTAAAGTTAAGCTGTGGAGAATTACACAGCCCAGTGTCCTGTCTCCTTCAAGCATGTGAAAAGCAAACACTCACAATTTTTTGTTGTTGGTGTTGTTAAATCTAAGAACATCAGGAGATAGGACTACTTAGATTCAAGGGCACTGAAGTTTGTCAAGTAGGATGCAAAAAGAGGGCCCTTCTTGCCCACCTCGCAGAGAGAGCTCATTTTGAGAGGTAAGTATCAAGAATGAGGCTCTGGAAACAAACTCCCCAGCTCTGAATCCTGCTGCCCTACTTAGGAGATGGAAAAACCTAGAGAAACTTGGTCACCTAGGAGGAGGAACATACTGTGTTGCTGCTTTTTGGTTTGGAGAGGGAGGGAAATAGAGGTGTTGAAGAGATGTAAGTTTAAAATGCTGATTTAGACAGAAGGTGAGTCACCACTTTGAGTTTCAGTTTCCCCAGCTGTTAATTAAAAAAAAAAAACAAAAAAAAACAGCGGGGTGGTGGGGAGAATGAAATCCACCTTATTAGACGTTTTAAAGGCTACACATTCCTTCTGAAGTAACCTCTGATGTGCTATAAGCGTTATGTAAACGTTAGTTGTACGTATTATCAATACAAAGAACAATGCTATTTTTTAACATAATATTGGCCAGACGCAGTGGCTGACGCGTGTAGTCCCAGCACTTTGGGAGACCAAGGTGGGAGGATCATTTGAGTCCAGGAGTTCGAAACCTTCCTGGACAACACAGTGAAATTCCGTCTCTACAAAAAAAATCCCCAAAAAACGAAAACAAAACAAAACAAAAAAAACAAAAAAAAAAAAAACCCGAAAAACGAGACAGGCGTGGTGGCATGCCCCTGTGGCCCCAGATACTCGGGAGGCTGAGATGGGAGAATCACTTGAGCCTGGGAAGTCCAGGCTGCAGTGAGCTGAGATCGCCCCACTGTACTCCAGTGTAGATGACAAAGTGAGACCCCGTCTCAAAAAAAAAAAGTAAATCAACCTACATCCTTTCTTTCTAACATTCTCCGAATGTTTTACTGCTATTAATAGTTATTTTCCGACTCTCAAGAGGAAATGAGATCCAAAAAAGGCTCAGAACTGCAGTAGCGAAGGCCCAGGGCTGGGGGAGAAGGGCTTAGGTGGCGGACCAGGAGGCGGTGGGCCCAGCGCCAGGCCTCGCGCACCATCAAGGGCCAGCGAACAGATTAACAGGCGACTTGCGCAGCGCGCCCGGTCAGTGCCACACGCTGTGACCGCGCTTCATGCACATCCCCCACTTTCATCCTCGCGACAGCCCTCTGAGGTAGGTACTTTCGTCAGCGCCACTTTTACAAACGGGGAAACTGAGGACCCGATGATCAAGCCCGGATCCTCACACGGCTCGCGAGACTGCGTTCCCAACCCCTGCGCATCGCGTGGACGGCGGGGGCGGGGAGTAGCGGGCGCCAGGAGACCCGGACGGATGAAGGCCGCGGGCGCGCGGGGGCGGCGGCCGGACTCACCTTGGCGCTGTGCACCGCCTCCTGCGCCCCGCGGAGCTGCAGCCAGATGCGCGCGGGCAGCGGCTCCTCAGCCCCCAGCGCGCCGAGCACGGCCAGGCTTACGCCGAACAGGCCCTCGATGCGGCCGCGGCTCTGCTCCAGCAGCTCCGCCTTCTCGGCTGGCGCCGTGAACTCGTCCAGCACCGCCCGGGCCGCCATGGCGGGCGCGGCCTGCCGCGGCGGCGCCGGGGGCCTGCGACGGCGACGCCCCCTCAGCTTGCTGCCGCCGCTCCCAAGCCCCTCAGGCGGCGTCGGCCCTTCCCGGCCGCCTCGCCCCCGCCCGCGCCCCACCGCCCGCCTGCAAGCCTGGCTATACCATCCCGCCAAGACCGCCGCAGCTTGGCAACTACTGGCAGCGAACCCCTCAGCCCCTTCGCCACCGCCGCGGACCTGGCCCCGCCACCGCGCATGCGCCCCGCTCGCAGTCGTCATTGAGGCTCGCCGCCCCCTAGGGGAAAGGGGTAGGGTGAGGGCGACGAAAGTTGACGTAACCCTCAGGTGCCATGTTGGTTGAGGGTAAAGGGAGGTTTCTGGAGGCCTGGGCGGACTTCTTTGATGAAGGCAAAGCGCTGTCGCCGGATCTGGTGGATGCAGATGTATGGGATTATAGTTTGGGAAATTGAAACTAGAGCCAGGAAATGAGACTGAGAGTGTCACGCAGGGATTGGACTTGACCTTAGACATCTTGACGCTCAAACCAGGATTCTAGCAGTTGAGTTATTCAGTTTCACATTAATCGACAGGCAGATAGGATCTTTCTTTTCTTTTTCTTCCCTCCCTCCCTCCGCTTTTACCTTCTTACCTGCCCTTCTCACTTTCTAATTTTTTTTCTCGGTAACAAGAAGAGAAGAAAATGGGCATACTTATGAAGAATTGAAAAGCAAAAAAAAAAAAAAAAAAAAAAAAAAAAAAAATTATTAAGATAAATTCAGGAGAGAGATTTATTCTATGAGGGAAGAAAAGGGATATGTTATGGGAGAAGCCCCAAAAGTGGGAGTTTGGGGACTCATGATCTTACCTGGGACTGGAGCAAATAAACCCTAACCCCCTCCGGGTCTGTTTTCCGATCTGTAAAATAAAAGGTGACATTCAGTTATCTCTAAGGCCTTTTCCAGGTTTTATACTCTCCAAGTCCATGAAAACAGATTGTGGAAGATAAAGTGTTGGATTTCTTTTCTTCAGCTACATATTGTACCTGTAGTACATAGGGGATCTGGGAATATGACTTCTCTATGTTTTAATTCTTCATCTATAGAATGTAGATAACAATAGTACTTCCTATTGTGAATATTAATATAGTACCCAACACTGTAAGTGCTCACTAAACATTAGCTATTATTATTTCGAAATTAGCAATATATTTAAGGCTCAATTTTCAGGGAAAATCTTTGTGTGGATTATGCAACCACAGTGAACTTGCGGGCCCAGGAGCATCCGTGTACATCCCCCTTAATGGAAAAATAGTAGGAGCTAAAATTGCTGTAGTTGGAAATACTAAGGGGGAATGGCCTTGGTAAGAGGGTTTACCAAAGGTAAAACCTGTCAGAGATCCAGACTGCTGGGGGTTTCCATATGTCTTAGAAACTCAGGTGTGGTTTCCCAGTGCTCCACCAAGAGGTGATTCAGCACAGGGAAGAGAACCACTAGGCTTACAGATCAACAGCTTCCTGCTCTCCTGGGCTTTTCCCTTGATGTCCACACAACCAGCCTTGCTCCATCAGGTAGATGACCTGGGATTGGCTGTGCTGATGTATTGCTTGCAGAACCGCAATCTATCAGTAAGGCGTGTTGCCAACACAGCATGTTATTTCCTGCCTTATTGCACTCACCTTAAACCGAATTGCTTGTTCAGTGATTGGACAGGGCTTTCCCCAGGGCTAGTTCCTGTTTGTTCCCAGTGACTTCCCTGCTTGTGACTCTTAATTGCTTAATTGTAAGATGTGAGGAGGGAGGCTGCCTTGAAAAACACACCACAGTGGCTTCCTCTTCCCCACTTCCCTCCAAAAAAATCCCACCCCAAACCAACAGAAGTAGCACATACACACACCTCAAAAAATGTTGGGCCGGCCCGGCGTGGTGGCTCATGCCTGTAATCCCAGCACTTTGGAAGGCCAAGGCTGGCAGATCATCTGAGATTAGGAATTCAAGACCTGCCTGGCTAACATGATAAAAACCCGTTTCTACTTAAAAAAAAAAAAAAATACAAAAAATTAGCTGGGTGTGGTGGTGTGCACCTGTAATCCCAGCTACCCAGGAGACAGAGACAGGAGAATAGCTTGAACCCGGGAGGTGGAGGTTGAGCCACGATCAGGCCATCGTACTCCAGCTTGGGCAACAAGAGTGAAACTCCATTAAAAAAAAAATGCTGGACCATGAAGCTGTGCTCATAAGTTGCTCGGTTGGTGTGTAATCGAAGATACACAGTTTTGGGAGGTTTTTCCCCCATTTTTAAGACTTGCCAGGCTGGGTGCAGTGGCTTGATCACTTGAGCCCAGGCGCTCAAGACCAGCTTGACCAACATGGCAAAACCCCATCTCTATTAAAAATATAAAAAAAATAGCCAGGTGTAGTGGTGCATGCCTGTAATCCAGCTATTCTGGAGGTTGAAGCAGGAGAATCACTTGAACTCAGGAGGCGGAGGTTGCAGTGAGCCGATGTGGCACCACTGCACTCTAGCCTGGGTGACAGAGCGAGACTCTATCTCGGGAAAAAAAAAAAAGACTTGCCAGTTCGTATTTGGTCAGCATTTCCCTTTAGGGAACTCTCAAGGTTTCCTGCATGTAAGGAACAAGGAGAAAGAGAAATCCCCTTTCAAGAACTCCCTTGCTTCATGCAGTTTCTCAACCACAACTTCCCTTGGTTAACCAGCCTTGCCTATCTGGCTGACCTGACCAGCCAGGACAGTTGAGGCCAGAGATGAAACTTTATGGCGTCTGCATTCTAGATACTTCAGCTATGTTTTTCCTTAATTTCCATAACAACTTCATGAGCCCATAAAATGGTGTTGAGATAATCACTTATTCTTGCTTCTCATATTTTCAAGGATAGGAGGAGATTCTCCTACTCCAGTCCCCAGCAGGGCCACGTGTGGGGTAACATGTCTAGCTTTCATCCTCCTTTTCCCCAGAGCAGGAGGAGGATTTCTCTGACTGGTAACTTTCTGAGAAGGCACAGTGCTGGGTTGGATCACCCTGTGCCCTCGTACAAGGGGCTGTCTGCAGTTGCTGTCTTAGTGACTGGGGGTAAAGTATTTTCACCTCAACCACATTCTCCAGTCTAGCTCTTGTCAGCAATGAAGATGACATTTTGATCTCTACCTGGCTGATGCCTGCTTTTCATCCTTAGTTCTGAACTCAGAAGGGGTAGAAAGAGTGTTTATTGGTCTCCTAAAACTCCAATAATGGGTGCTATTGTTTCCCTTCCTGTTTCAAAGATGAGGAAACCAGCCGAGGGTGGTGGCAGGTGCCTGTACTCTCAGCTACTTGGAAGGCTGTGGTGGGAGGATTGCTTGAGCCCAGGAGTTCAAGGTGAGCCTGGGTAAAAGCGATATCCTGTGTCTTACTTTAAAAAAAAAAAAAAAATAGGAAACAGAAGAACAGAGAAGTTCTGGACCATTCCACAGAGCTTCTCAGTGAAGTGGTGAAAATAGTCGTTTGAATCCAGGCAGTCTGACTATAACTGAGCAGCTTGGCTTCAAACTGCATTTTAAAACCTTGTTTTCTTTCCTTCTTTCTCCCCGGTCTCAAGATACAACTTTGAGAAAAGCGGCATACTATATGTGTTTCCTGTCATCTTAACATGCAGCCTCGGAATGGGCTGTGAACCTCCATTCCCTACCCTTCCCCGTTCCATGCTCCCATGCCTTATGCACATTTATTTACCCAGATGCTTGTCAAGTATACACCATGCTCACTTACTGGTTATTTCCTAAGAAGCTTCAGGGGCTGGATCTTTTTTTGTGTATTTGTGATGGAGTCTCGCTCTGTCTCTCAGGCTGGAGTGCAGTGGCGTGATCTCGGCTGACTGCAATCTCTGCCTTCTGTGTTCAAGCAATCTCCGACCTCAGCCTCCCAAGTAGCTGGGATTACAAGTGTGCACCACCACATCCAGTTAAGTTTTGTATTTTTAGTATAGATGGAGTTTTGCCATGTTGACCAGGCTGGTCTCGAACTCCTGACCTCAGGTGATCTGCCTGCCTCAGCCTCTCAAAGTGCTGGGATTACAGGCGTGAGCCACTGCGTCCAACCAGGGACTGGATCTTGACATGGACCGTACACCTCCAAAACTCTCTCCCCGGTCAGGGATGAAATTTACTCCCAGCCACCTTCACTCATGTTTACTCATGTTCATGCACTAGAAATTAACTGCAAGATTGACTGCAGTTTATTTGTAACCTGGTTGGGCCCAGGATGGCACTGGCCCCTTCACCAAAGGAACAATAATTCAAGATAAGCTGTTGGAGTGAATCCCACCACTGACCCCCTCCTAGCCCCATTCCTCTCCATTCCAAACCCCTCTCTCTCAAAAAACCCCTGCATTCACTCCATAAATTGAAGGGTGGAAATTTTTGGAAACAATCTCACCCCCTCTTTCCCTTGCTAGCATGGAAAATAAAATCTCTTATCACACCTCGCTATTGTTATTCTGGCTTTTTTCTACTAGTGGTGAGTAGATGGACCCTTTACTGGTTACATGACTCTGCTGAGTGACCTTATGTACTATGCCATGATTACAGCAGCAGCAAGCTTGGATATGCAGCCAACCCCTTCTGCCCATGCGAAAGTAAGCAGGAGAAGATCACGTGCTCTCATGACCAACCCCTCAGTCTTGGACCCTCCTTGCTGTGGGGTGCTGTCAAACCCAGACAGACCTGCACACGGAATCTTGCTCGGTGCACCCAGCTGATCAGATCAGCAGATGAAGATGCTCCCTGGCCAGCAGTGTCTAGGTCAGTGCGTCTTACTGGGTTCTTGGTACAATCAAATGTAGAGCCTTCACATAAGAAGAAGGAATATGATCATTCTTCAGTTACACACACAAGGTTTTAATAAACTTGCAAACTGTTCAATTTATCTTATCCCCTGTCAACAGTCCAAGCCACCGTGATCTCTCTGACAACTGTGAGGTCTCCCCATACTCTTTTTGGTCTCTCCGTAAATATCAAGAGCTACAATCGCTACAAGATTAGAAGAAATTATTTGCAAATATCAATGCTGCAACCAGAGTGATCTTCACAAATTGCAAATCTCATCAATCAGACCCTTACTTAGGACCTGCCAAGAGCATCCCTACAGGGTCAGAATAAAATCCAAAGCCCTTGCCTTGAGTGGCAGCCCTTGTGAGACCTGTCATCTGCCTGCCCCACCTCTTCTCCTCTCTGCCCAGCTCAC